ATTTTTACTCTTGTTAAAATGGCGATCATGAAATAGGTCTATGCATGTTTGTATAGTTTGCAAAACTTTCAATTGACTTTCAATTCAAATTTTATTTATTTATTTATTTTTTTTTTTTTTTTTTTGCCTGTCCCGTTTGGCTCTTTTGCCATCAGAATTATTGTCTAAAGGCGAAGAAAGATGCCCAACGGATTTACTTTACCAAATTGACCATCCCAGCTTTGCCGTAATGGTCCATTTGATTCATCTTTTATTATTTATTTTATTTTCACTTGCTGAATACGGGACAGACTTGACTGGGGGAAAGAAAAGGGAGAAAGAAAGAGAGAAAAAAAAAACAGCTGAGAAGAGGGACGGGGGAGAAGAGCAAAAAACAAAAACCAACAGAATAAGCAGAAAAAAAAATACAATTCAATTCAAATTTTAAACTTTAAATGCATCATTTTACATGTGTGAGTTCTTGTCTAAGTAGTACCTTCACCAACCAACCTTTCCGGCCTTCTATCACAATGAAATGAAATAACAGAAAGCATCAAATTTCTGTCATCTGGTCAGTTTACCTCCAGTTTGGTGTAAGACAGCATCTGTAAGGGAATTTATCAAACGGAACCAAATACAGTCCTACTGATTAACATGTGTTTATAGATTGTCTCTGAAGGCTCTGTGTCATTCATTAAAGCACTAACACGAATGTGCAAATATAATAATATATGGGGGTAAACAATAAAGTATTAGATTCTCTGCATTAGCCACCAAAACTAAATGTTCTCCAGGTTCATTCGCGTTCCTCATAAAACATTTTGAGCTACTCATGCATTTCTGCTGAGCATGCAGGTGCTTCCGATTGAATTCTGCTGAGGTTCACTGGTCAGGGCTTAGGTCAGACATTGCATTTGTGGCAGTGACAGTTTGTTGGCATCGACAGGAAATACTTGAAGAACTCTGATTCTGTGAGACTTATCACACACATATATAAAATGTATAACCGCGTACGGCTTCAACGCGTTAGCGCGGTTAGCTCATATATGTGTGTGTGTGTCTAAATATATATATATATATATATATATATATATTAGTGCAAAGACATCCAGGATTCATCCAGGATTAAAAAATAACTTGTCAGGTGTTAAACGAAAAAATATTTCAGTTTTTTTTTTTTTATAGCATCACAGTAAAACTTTCAACATTCTCTCATTTACATGTACAGAGTAAAATTATTTAATAAATTGTCACCAGGGGAGTGCTTTTTGCCTTCAGCTTTAAAAGTCCGATAGCATGTGTGGGCAAGCAGCGTGGACACACAGGTTGTGAAGTTGATAACTCGAGAATGAGAAGAAGTAGGAGTTTGAAATTGATACCGTAGGTGTATCTACTAAAAATCTTGGCCAAGTTTGAATCTGGTGACCTTGACTTCAAGATCAGAGGTGAGAGGTGAATGCAATAACTCGAGAACGAGGCGATGTAGGATTTT